AAAAAAAAAAAAAAAAAAGAAAAAAAAAAAAAAAAAAAAAAAAAAGCACACGTAGATAACTCTGGGTCCCAGGTATATACAAGTACTTTTATTTGTAATGTCCTTATAGCGAAGAAATGACGCTTATTGCGTAACATCGTATATGTATACGTGTACAGCTGCCAGTACGATACACAAGAAACACACTGCTGGTATGCACTCAACTCGGGGTAACTTTTCCCGAAAGGCAATGCAATGACGATTACTTACTTACACATTCTTCCTATTCTTCTTTCCCAATGGTAAATGTTTTCCCCTGGATCATTGTGGATCCACACGAGTATACATTTATGAAAAAATATGAAGGGGACGTTGCTGTTGGGCTGTGCGTATGGTATGCCGATGATGATATACATGTCGCAATCATAAATTCATTAACATACCGTACATCCTCTCCAGAGTCGTATACTTATATTATGTACGGTATATAACGTTACTTCAAAATCAAGTATGTATAAGTATATGGTGGAAAATCAGTCAACTTGATGTGCCGGATAATTGCGTTATCAATTACTAACCGTGTGCACGCGCTCTCTCCCTCTCCCTATCTCTCTTGCAAAGCAGGCATGCAAAAGTACAGAGAACAAAACAACCGCTCGAAAACGGTACTCTCCTGCGCTCACACATGTGTATATGTATATTTATATAATAGCGTATATAAGCGTACACGCGCGCAAAAGGACGCATGATAAATATATACAGTAATAACAAATGCAATGTGATATAGCTAATTGTGTTACACGCGGATAAATCAATGAGACGTGTTTTTTTTTTTTTTTTCCCGCGCGACTAAAGAAAAAACACAAGCCGCATCAGTGAGCAACGGTACGTTTAATGCGGCGTTACACGCAATTAACATCGTTACAACGACCTGCACTCTGCTCCCGCTTCCAATGACCCCTTAACAGTATATTACTCGTATACCTACGCGTGGGTAAATAAGCCCAACTGCAACGGTGGTAATTATGTACAGCGACACACAATTGATATTTGTGCGCATACCTACTTTATATACCAATTTGCACACACACACACCCATATGTATATATATCTTTTGCCTGAGAGAAAACGTGTTAAACACACAATCGCTTGCTTATAACTCAAATCCTATCGTTAGTGCGTATACATAGAGGTGTCTGTGACGATGCACATGCGATGTATATCGCTTACGCGGGTGTAAGCAACAGCTATTGTTCATCGATCTCTTTTATTTTATTTTATTTTTTTTTTTTTTTCACCCGATGTAAGCCCACAGGTGGTTAAGCGGTCGTTCGAGCGGTTAAACTCTGCAGCACCGCACTTAATATTTATATACATACATCACACAGAGCGGGAGTGCATGCTTTTTTTCTTCTTCTTATTTTTCCCTCCTATATTTATTATATTGTCGCGCGAACCTGATGGTATACGACTCGGTAATTGTATCGGGTTACTCTTGCGGTGTGCGCACACCTTAATCGGGTATCCGTAGAATTGAGCAACCGTACCGGGAATATACTTACCTGCTATATCGACCAAATGAGCTTGGAGTGAAAAACGCGCTGATATGGATTACATAGTACTATACAAGTGCAGTGTAGTGTTTTTCTTTTAAAAAAAGGGGAACGTATACACAATGAAGACGTTGTTGCTGGGAAGTGAAATTGTATATATGGGTAACGGTGTGCTCATTGCCGAAATGAAAGTAGCTGATACACACCTACGCATAATAGCCATTCGACATTTGATTCATTAGTACATGGGTTTAAAATGGCTATTGCGGCGTCGCGAAAGCGCGCTGTGCTCAACTATACACCTAACCGGGTGCATATATATTTATAATACTTGATCATACACGTTGGATTGCAAAAATTGCGGAGAAAGAGAGTGACAGCGGTGCAACTTTTTCTTCCACGCGACAAAAGCTGGTTCCCCCGTTTCACCGGAGGAACTGCACATGATACAGGTATACCTAATGTACTTGGCGAACCCGCGCGTTACGACAACCAAGATGAGTGAAGAAAAAAAGGAGGGCAGTTATATATACGAGCGGCACATAATATTACCTCTGTTGAGCAGCAGGGTCCTAACGACCCTGATGTAGATCCTCCCGTGTTTCGTCCTGGCGACGTGGAAGAGAAAATCCGAGAGCTCGCCCTCGGCCTCGAGGATGTCGGTGTCGGCGAGGCTCTCCCGCATCGCCTGGACCCTGTCCTCGGGCGTGCTCTCGTCCGGACTGGCGAGCCCGTGCTCCATGAACTCGACGACCCCATAATCGTCCCACAGCTCGCACTCGCTGCTGCCCTTGGGCCGCCCGAGCCAGGGTCTGCGACGCCTCTCGAGCGCTTCGTCCCGGGTCACCTTGCCGGGCAGCGGCAACGACGTTGGTGGCTTGACTCCATCAGCCACACTGGCCGTACTCGCTGACGAGTCGTCATCGTGCAGGCTACCGTTGGCCCCGAATCCGGACACATCGAGGGCTAGGCTTTCGAACGAGGACTCGCCCCTGCTGTTGTTCCCTCGGGGTGTGCTCGTCGTCTTGGTCCTGGTTGCGGTAGTCCCGTCCTGGCTCATGACATCGTTCGGACCACCGTAGGCGCTCGAGCCTCGTCTTCCTTTGGGAGTCTCCTGTTTTGGTCTATTGTTGCCGGTGACTATGCCACCTGGTTACTTTGGTCGGGTGCTCTCGTCGGAAAATACGCGCATAATCAACGCCGATACTCTGCTCCCTTTGCCGGTGTTTTTTTTTTGTTCTAGAAGCGAATAATCCTTTTACACGTTTTTCTCTCTGTGCGTGCATACGGTTACTCAACTCCCTTTTTTTTACGATCGTTGGTTTTTTTTTTTTTTTTTTTGTCTAGAGACGAGAGAAAGATGGTTTCAACATGATATTCATGTGTCGGATCGATAGTTTCAATAAAACGATTAAACACGTGTACACCTTAAGAGTCTATATTGATACGTTTTGGCACGAAAATGCTTCGGAAAGAGAGTCGTTTAGAGCTCTTTTATACATATATATATTCTTTTTTTCGCAATGAAACGCACGCGATTGAACTCTTTGGCACGTCGGAAGGACATTTTTCGTCGCTATTGTATAAGAAAAAAAGGGGGGGAGGGGAGGGCCTTGTTATATACACACACAATACAACAGCCATGGGCCGATAACTCGGAGACATTTTGGCAAACCGGTGACCGCGCTTGCTCCAGATAAAAATTACCTCTGGCTCGGGCTACTGGCGTCCCAAATCGGGGGGAAATAAAAGGACCCGTTCTAATTTTTGTGGAAAAAATTCACCACCCCTTCTCCGAGAATGATGAGATGAAATGTATAAATAAAAAAAAAAAAATAAATAAAAACAGATTCTGTAGTAACAGCAGGTGAAACAAGCTCATCTCGTCGATCGAGCTGTTTCACAGTCCGGTTGATTATTCGTATACCCCACAGGTGCCAATGTACATTTCTAGGAGCCGTGAACCATCGGAGACGATGGCCTCTCTGTACGAGATCTCGCGACTCTCTCTCTGTAAGAGCACATCCGCCACTCGATCGATGGAAAAGTGCGGACGGACGTGCAAAAAAGCGACGGAAGTTAATAACGTGGATCGCGCGTGGAAAACATTATTTTGACAACGAAAACCATTGGCCTTTCCGGCCCTGGAAGCACACAAAAAAAAAGAGACGATACGGTGCTATACACACAGGTATAGCTTTGGTCCCGTGAGAAAACACGCGTGTAGGTTTTTTTTAAACATTTTCTCTCCGGTGAAAACGAATACATCCCCCCCCCCCTCTGCGGTTTTGCTACCTGGGAACTACAGGGTTTTACGCGAAATCGATACGCGTGGTATTCGATGTGTATACACTCAAGAGAATTCTCCCTCTCTCGTTGTTTGATTTTGCCAAGACGCTACCTCGAAAATAACGAATGTACAACCGACAGAAGATAACTTTTAATGGGCGGGCTGGCGCCAACCCACACCCACTACGGGTTACACGTTACTCGGACCGTAAAATGAAAGACCAATTTTCGAATGATCTACGAACCAAATGATTAAAAACCGCAAAGAAACGCCTAGTCACGAGTTGTCGATTCCCAAAGGGGTTTGGAAAAATAATGCCACTTGGTAATTTCACACGGTAATTTCGAGATCATTGTTGCTCGATAAACTGCCCGGAAAGACTTGCTTGGAGTAGCCGAGAAAGAAAGAGAGCCCATGGAAAAGGAAAATGTTGGGGGGTCCTGCACTTACGAGATTGTTCTTATTCATCGGCGACATTGGCGTATATATAAGAGAGACAAACAATAGCCCGTAGGAGGACTCGGGGGAAGCTGCGAGAGCGACAGATGGGCGAAACGAGCAAATAAAACAATAAAAACGAAAGGCGACCAATAGAGGAGGAAGTAAAGAAGAAAGTGCCTCCGATGTATACTCATAGTCCTTCGCCCTAGTTTCTTCCGAACCAATTTCCGTGTGTGGTCTCGAGAAATTAGAGTATAGTATTAGGCCGCTTGGACGGACGATTTACCTCGAGATGGACAAAATGACATGTGCCACGGGGAAACGAGCTCCTTTTTTTTTTTTTTTTTTTTTTCAAACAGAGCCTCGTTTGTTACTCGACGCAACAAGTAACCCATAATTGAAGTACGCGTGTAAAAATATATACCTACTCATAGTCACGCGAGGAAGAGCAAAAAAAAAAATAGGAAGGGGGTAACAAGTACGGAGCCTCGGGAGGACTCTGTTTTGGTCCGTCGAGCGCGAACAATGCGGCGTGTCCGAGTATACTTTTTATACAGTATTTCGCTTCTCCTCCTCCTCCTCCTCCTTCTTGTACAGTTGCGGAACTGATGGCTCATGGGGTAGGTACTTATAATGTGTATATTATGCACTTAGAGGCTAGTGATTTGCCTGACTTGCGGTACAAGATTGACGCTCGGTAAAAAGATGCGCGGATATGTTTGGGAGAGTGTTGTACTTATTACGCGTTGGCGCCTTTCGCCACCTCCTCCCCCCCCCAGCCTTCGTTGTTGCGCGAGTGTGTGCTTCCTGGCGAGGTGAAGTTTCTTCCATCGGAATGTAATTATTATTTTTTTTTTTTCCTTTCTTCGCAGAGACTTTTTATCTCAGGAACGAGGATGACATGAAAAAAAATTCTTTTGATGGCCATCCATCGGTAATTGCGACGGTGGACGGCGAGAGCGTAACAAATTCCCTTGAAAATTTACAATAATTTATACGATCGTGTCACTCGAAGATCGAGCTGGCACCATACGGATGAATCGACGAGTGGTTTGCGGAACCATCGCGAGAATCCCTCGCATCTTAATCGAAAAGAAAAATTATCATCAGCCCGAGAAAGGAAAATCTCGTGATGATTTCTTTTCCCTCTGGCGGTGCCACGATAAAAAAAAAAAAAAAAAAAAAAAAAAACGGGAGGAGGGGAAAGAAAAGAAAAGATGAACGATTCATATACAGCCACACATCAGCGAGCGGACAATGAAAAAACGTCTCTGCCGTTGCCCGATTGTTAATTAGCGAAAGCCGCTGCATGCATATATATTGTATACACACGTACATGGGCGTAGTAATGGATATTTTTGCGCGTTAATTGGAGCGAGCCGTCCTTTTTTTTCCTTCCTTTTCGACTCCTTTCGCGCCTCGACGCCAATTGGAGTGTCAAGTTTTGCCTACCGAGCGTATTACAATATACGTCCACATAGTGGGTACTTACGTGTCGCCTCTCACGCTGACGTGTGAAATTAAGACCCACCTATCCGCGTCGAATCATCATCATCATCATCTCTTTTCGCGGTACGACGGCTTTGACGGACAACAAATGTCTCGGCTCCGGAAGATGCACGCACGGGAACTTTTTATCGCCAATAACAAAGAGACGAGAAATTTCTCCCTTTCCTTTCGCACGCGTCGGGGATTAAAATTTTTGAAAAATTACAGCCGAGTAAGTATACCTATTTCACTACAGCCTCTCTCTCTCTCGTGTGCCAAGTAACTCGAGTCCTACACCCCACTCCGATACACCTATCTTCGAAAGAAAAAGACGAGGGGAGGAGAATAAGACACAAGAAGGGACATATATATATATAAGTAGGTAGGTATAGTGATGTATACAGCACGCACTTCCTTTATGGCCTGTCAGCGGTGTCTGTGTAAGTATATACCTGTTTCTTGTACACCGACGTCTGGCGACCAATTATCATCCCCCTCTGCCCAAGGAGGCGTCGGATGTCCCGTGCACCCTGTCAACCGGCGTCGGATTAAACAGCAAAACTATACTCTGCAAAGCTCGGTGCTGCTACTTTACGTGGCTTCCGCCCTGTCGACGCGCTCTCTCTCTTCTTATACCCTTCCTCCGCCCTGGCTGCCCTTCTGTATCCTTACATGTGTGTACAAAAATAATTGCGAGCAAACTCGGGTACGCGGGTCGCGTATCGTTGAAATTTCACCGTTTTAACGAGTCTCGTGTTACCCGATCTACGGGGGATGGATGTACATATCCATCGTGTGCAGGTTGTTTGTCCCCTCCGCTCCTCCCTATACCTGTAATTTAATTGTATTTCAATAACGACTCTATAAGCGGCGATTAAGTTTTACTGTAAACACACACGATTTGCGAAAATGGCCCCAATCATGGGAGTACACCGCGACTATTATCTCGAATGGCGTTCCGTGATACACCTGCAGCTCGTTTAGGAAAAGAATTTATTAATAACTATTAATCTCCGTTGTTACCTTAACGGACAGAGAGAGAGAGAGAGAGAGAGAGAGTATGTATGGGTAATTAAAATGGCGGAGCACTTGGATATTACAATTCGAGTATGCCAGATAATTGGAAAAAACGAGACAAACGCGAGCGTGAATGTAGACTCACGGGATTATTTTTTATTCGTATGGATAAGTATGCTAATTTTCTGTGAAAAAAAAAGATGCTGGTTCGAGAGCTCCAGTTGTTCTTCTGTACAATCACAACTCACATTGGCTGTAGGGTGTATTTATACATGGGGTAACCCTGATATTTATCTATAATATAAAATACACCGCGATGATTTTATCACTTGCGGCGCGCTTTGGATCGTAACTGTTTGACGAGCATCGGTTGGTAATTAGTATCCCTTTGCACAAAACTGATGGCTGATTAGATAAAGAGATTCTTGATCACCTGCACCGACACCGCGACACGAGCCAACTATGCAATACAGTACCGCATGTTGCGAAAATCGATAAGACCGCGCGTTCAATGTTGTTGTATTATACGACTCGTGACTTGTCACTTGTCATTGATCAAACGAAAAGAAAAGAGAAAAAAATAAACAGAAGAGAATTACAGGTAAACCTTCGGCAAAGTAGCTGTAAGACGACGACTTGGATAAAAACGGGCATCTTTTGCCTGGATACATTTACAGCGTGTATAAAAAAAACCGACATTCCTCGAGCCGCAAGTTTGCAAAATAAAAAAAAAAGTCTTCTGCTTTTGGTAATAAAGCTTACGTGAGAGTAAAATTTTTCTATTTACCACGATACGACATGTATTTTCGATCCGATAGGAGAGGAAAAAAAAAATTTATTCACCCGTGCGTGCACTTGCTATGCGGGAATTGTTTTTTTTTTTTTTTTTTTTTTTCGATCTACACGTTAATCTTTCGGAATTGTATGTGTAACATACCTCTATGTGCATATACATATATACGTTTGACGACGAAGAAGAGCAGATGTAAGCTGCTAATGAACTCGTGCGCGATTTCTAAATTATGACGTGTGCCTCATCCCGCTCGCATGATATAAGAAAGTTCCCGCGCGTTACATGCTGCAGTCAAACATAAAGACTGCAGCACTACTCTTTTCCACTTTTCCACGTATGCATTGTATACGAAAACACGAACGAATCGAACATATCGCGAGGGACGTGCATCAGTTTTCGACGATTCAATTACCGTTATAGATACACCCCATTATCGCTACTAGCGCCGTTTTATGTGCAGCAGCTATACGGAGTTGTCCATTATAGAATTCTCGAACGGCGTGAAATTGGAAGCGCCAAGAGCGAGAGAGAGAGATGTGTGAAGTAAGTATATATTCGAGTCGACCCAAAGGCGTTGCGAAGCGATTTTACTGATTGCTCAAGACGAAAATAAACCACCTCGGTCGACAACTGCAGCTGTACATATACGTGTATTATGTTTGCTAAAGGAGATACCGAAGAGTAAAATTCGCTCTATAGTGTTTTATGTCCCCTGCTCGGGGTGATAACCGTTGAGGTGGTGGACTAACCTCCTCCCCACCTCGAGTCTATGAGTATGCATCATCAGCTACATTTTTAGAGCATAACTATTACAACATAGTATATATATGGTACGTGGATGGAATAAACGACACGACGAAAATAAAATCCATATATTCGCGCATGAGTCCAATCAAAGTTGATATGGAATGTGGAGTTTAATTGACCATCACCTGTATATCATACTACTAATTATGCAATGAGCGCCACTCGCTTTGGATGTTACTTTCGATCCATTCGTCTCGAGCGATTCATTCGCCGATAAATCAAGCGAGGCTGAACATACACCAGAGTCCATCCGAGGGCTTACCGAGTGCAATTACGAAACTTGGTATAAATGAAAAAAAACTGGGCCTATGTGGCTCTTTGCTGTGGAACAACACGTAGACGAAGTTGATTCGCGAGCACGACAGATCCGTTTGAGCTTTTGATTAATGGACCGTAAATCATACACCTCCCTCGCGCTTATAAAGAGCTGTTTCTTCGACGAGCCGTGTGTGTATGTAATGGCACGTTTCGAAAGTGCCAGGTGTACACGATTGTAACAATACAGTCGTATCAAAATTGCACACCGCAATACGAGAGAAAAGGAAAATTGACCCTTGCGTTTGCAATTTTCAAAGCTCATTAGACTCGCGGGTGTGAGAAGTAATGACGTTGGTGAAACTCTTTCGATGAGATGCGGTATAGAAAAATGGAGACAGATGAAAATTTTCGTCGCGACAAGCCGCGCCGGCTTTGATCTCGTCGATATACGCTGGCGCGTCGCGCAACAATGTGTGTATACATATCAGAGAGAGAGAGAGAGAGAGAAGGGCAATTCCCAGGCAAAGCCACGCACACGATCCCACCGATTCGTGCTCGATGGTCTTATTTTTTTTTCCTCGTTTTCAAAGAGAGGAAAGGGCTCACGTTGGCGTTGCACGTGCCTCGCGAAACTTTCGTGCGAAAGAAAGTGCGGGGATTTGAGATCTTTGGGATTTCGAAAAAAACACCGGCCTCTTGTCGATCCGTGTGAACTGCGCCCGGTTGGGTAAAAGGTATCAAGAGCCAAACTATTCACACGATCCCCCGTTGGCTTCGATCGTGGAAGAACGTACAGAGTAGTACGGAGTGTTGCGAGTGCGGGAAGGTAATTTAAAATTGCATCGCCTACGTGTACACACCAAAATAGACTTTGCGCTGATCGATCCGAGCGATTGGTGGATCATTCGCGTTGTGGGACAAAAAAAAAAAAAAAAAAAAAAAAAAAAAAAAAAAAAAAAAAAAAAAAAAAAANACTTCTCGCCATTGGCTCTTCTCTCGGGCCATCGTTAAAAAAAAAAAAAAAAAAAAAAAAAGGGGGGTTAAATGAAAAAAAAAAAAATCCCCGCGATTGGGGGGTTCTTCGCGTTGGGGGGAAAAAAAAAAAAAAAAAAAAAAAAGGGAATGTTTAAAATTTTCCATAGTTGGAGAGTGTAAGTTGTGCTTCCCCCTCGTTTATACCGATACCATAGTTGTTGCAGGAATGTATAATAACAGTGTTTAGACGAAACGAGTGTTATTATTTTCGCCGGCGTCGGTTTCACGGCCAACGGAGCGGACGAAAGCTGTGAAAGCACGCGTGGGATCTGTCTCTGAATTTACTGCGATTCAAGTTGAAAGGTGTATACTTAATAAGTGCGAGTGCTCGTTACGGTAAGGTATTTTTTTTCCCCCTGAACGTCGGAGGAGCCATGTCGAGGACGCAGAGTTAAATTAGCCCGGTAGATTGGACGGCACGTGTTATTAGGTATTTTTTTTTTTTTTTTTTTCAAGAACTGACCCGCGCTGACTTAATGGGATGTATGGACGTGATTTTCCGTGACGTTCAATTGCAGTTTAATAAGGGTATTTTTCACGTGCGCGTGGAAATGAGGGCTTTTAGGCAAGTAATTTTGTGCAGTTGATTGATGTTCGTCAAGAAAAAAAAAAAAAAAAAATTATACAATCAAGTAGAGATTGAAAAAAAAAAACATTTTCCTCGCAGGAATTCCGGATGTTAAAATGTTTTTTTCTTTTCAGAAATGACGTGGGTACTCGTGACGATTGCGCGTTGCACCAACGTCGGCTCGTTAAAGATCTAACTTAAGGAGATGGACAAATATCGTTTTAAAAGTTTAGCGACTCGAGACGCACAGAAAACTCATTTCAGTCAAACTCGCTCTGAGAGGTGTATTTTATTTTTGTTTTTCTCCGCACGATACAGTGTCATCGCGTGTCCTAATTTAATTCCGGGTTTTTTTTTCTGTATCGAATACGTTGCTTTAATTATCATTCGGTTAAAAGTCAATTATAGCACACGTAAAACTTTAACGTTTATAATTCTCTCCAATCATCCCTAGAATTATCCTAGGTATCTACACTATACTACTTTCGTGGAGCGCGTCGACCGCGATCTCATAAAATTTTATACTAGCAGGTACCTTAACTTACGTGTACAACAAACGTAGGGTACTTTTACAAATACCTTTATATCGAAGAAGTAAAAGAAGAAATGACTCGATGGGTATTAAAGTAAGTAGAAGCTGCTGCATGGCAGATAAAATGGAAGAGACTTGACGTTACGAGCACCGCACCCTCGGAATATCGACGTCGGCGTCCTTGATTACTTTTTTTTTGTTTTTGTTATCAAACCCTCGTGACAACCAATTAAATTTTCCATTACATTGTGAAAACGTCATCAACGACCCATACTTTCAAATTCAAGCTTTTTCTTTTTCTACGTAGAAATTCAATCGACTCTGATTTGCATAATTTGGCCTGTCTTATTTCAATTCATCGTGTAAACAGGTGGCATACACGAAAAATTCATTCGGAATGTGGGTTATTGGGTGAATTAATCAACTATTTGTATTAACAGAATCTTTGAATTGCTAACAGTAAAAAAAAAAAAAAAAAAGGTAATGCTCTGAAAAATTAATAACACCTATTAATTACCGAGATGAAGTACTTTGGTTCCTCATTGCATTTACATGACATTAAATTTAGACTCTCATTGATGTACATTTGAACCATTATATGTATGTACTATTGAAACTATTATCTTGACTATTATCGTTTTATCACTGAAGAAACTATAGGTACACGTAAAACCAAACGATCGTAAAGTTCAAGGTTGAATTAATCCTCGGTTACGTGACATAAATAAAAGTACTTTCAATTTTTAATAAGAAAGTACTTAAGTACCTAAGCAACAACGGTTTGTTATTCGGAAATCTCAAAAGTTACAAATTATAAGTATGCGCGTATGTTCCTTCTACAATGTTACAACACGTAACCATAGAATAGAGAGAGAAAATGTCACGTGCACGAGCTCTTTTCCAGCTTGCTGCTATCGGAAAAACTGTACGCGCACAAGAGAGGAATGTCACAGTATAGTACTTACGACGACCAGCTACGTCACCCGGGGAAAGAACGATCGAGAGAGTTATAGGTTATGTCAGTCATCCCTCTGTCCGAGATAAGATAATAATCACTCGAGCCTATATATTCATCATTGATAGTGTGGTGATAAAAATTAATGACATTACACTCTGCTCTTGCGTGCGTACAATATCCCCGTGATGTCTACACGAAATATTAGTATACTATGTGCTTTTAATTATAATTATAAACTCAAGCAGAATACTAACCCTCGTACTGGCAGGCGTGTATATAATAATTATGTGGGCCACGCCGGCTGATATCTACAAATATGCGAGTATTCGACGATGACAAGTTAATTATTCACGCACAGAGCGTCGATCGATGAAACCCGCGCACTGTATTTTCTCACTTTTCGCAATGTCGCGTGTTGAAAAAAGAACACGTTGAGGAAATTGAAAAAAAAAAAAAAGAAGAAGAAGAAAAAACACAAATGTGACGCGAGCACGCTTTTTCCTATTTATAGTACGTGTATTTTATTGAATGGTGTACTAGTGGTGGCGACTTCTGCTCCTTGAGCCGAGATATAACAGTCAATCCAATTTTTAAAAAGTACAGTCCTCTGTCAACTCTTCTGTGTGCGCGTATTTTATATAGTTTTTTAATTCACATGCCCGTACAAGTAAGTAGTGTCCGCACTGAAGCACGTTATCAGCAGTGCACAATACGTAATTTCGGTTTGTCACCGATTACCCAACTTTAACTCGGAAGGCCACGCCAGAGAGAAAACTCTCACATGGTAGGTGATTAAAACACAAATAAAATTATACATAAAAAAAGAAAAAAAAAAAAAAAAAAAAAAAAAAGGAGCGTTAGATGTAAAAAGAAATGCGTATTGTACGAGGTATTTATGATACTTTTGTATTTTAGCACCAAGTTATGTGTGGGTGGAGTAATGCGCGCAGCCGCGACGAGGCCACGAATGCGACTACTCGTCGACGGCTGTTTGGCTGGCATGCATATACCCGAGCCGTACACATAGCGCAACTTCAGGGCCGGAGCCGGAGGAGGTATGAGGTATATATATGTGCAGAACAGAACTACAGAAGAAGCGCGCGCACGCTTGACTCTATTTTTTTTTTCCTTCGTTCTTTCTCTCTTTCCTTTCTGCTCTATCTTTCTCTAAGAAGAAGAAATACTTATACGTTTTGTGCGCACGATCGAGCAAAGCACGGTAACAATATGTAACATCCTCTGCGAGAGCTGGGGGACACAAATGCGACATCGTATATTAAGTATTTGTTCGTACATAAATGTAAACTCACACTGTTTTGATTACACGTGCGAGCAGATATAATTATATTATCCATATACGATATTGGGTGATTATACAATTAGATTGCGGAGAAAGAAAAGGCGCAATCGAATGCGAGTCACGTTTTTAACGGCAAATCCTTCTGTGATGAATCAAGTATATAATGAAACCCTTGCTACGTCAGTCGGCGACGATGCGACTATCAACGTATGGCCAACTCCTTCATTATTTATTTATTTAGGGGCGAATGTTCTTACAGTCAAAATTGTACATTTTTTTTTCACGGGAAAACAAGACTGCAATCTGTTGAACATTTCGGATCGGTAACGGGTGCTGTGATCTATTTGGTCGGGGTATCCCCTATTGGGATGCTTGAACGCAGTTTGTGCGAAGGAATAATTTAATACACGCTTTTTATCTCTGGAGGATTTTAAAATTACATTTCTTACTTTTAGTTTTCATCTAACGAATCGTGTGCTTACAATGATTATCTACAGTGTTTTGAATTGTTAGAGCTACGCGCCAAATATCACGTAGTCCACGCTTTTCCAGGTAAAAAAGGAAGGGTCTGCCCAATGTGACAAAGGTCCGCTCCGATATTGACAGCTTTACAACTCTCTATGCAGCATGGAAGCTATTGGATCTATGGATACCACTTTGTCGTTGTTTTTCGTCTACAATTATTAACTGAAAAATTATACACCTAAAAAAAAAAAAAAAGTAATTAAATTACACACCACCGCCGTGAAAAATGGTAAAAAACTTCTCCGACTCCTCGTTAGAAAAAATCTTGCGAAACCAAGAGAAATCCATTCGCTTTTGTTCGGCAATCGAAAAACGAGAAACACACGAACATCCTTCTCCAATTAACCCAACCCCCGAGCAGACGAACTCTTGATTGAAAAAAAAAGGAAGACAAAAAATATCAGCCATTCCCTTTGAACATATAGACCCCTCGCATCCTCTGGTCTTCTGTATTCAAATGACTAAGTACTTATTTCGAAAATAGACTCCCATTATTCTTCGTACACAGCCATTCGTCGGCGCCTGTAAAACGTGCATGCCCGTCTTGCACCTCCGGAGTATACAGCGCTGCATAATTCAAGGGGCCGCACACGTTTATCCAAATTTACTCCTTTGTATCAAAATTCAAAGTATACTTATATACCCAAGTACACAGAAAAGCAAGTGCAAAAACAAACTAAGTACATGAGTACACAATACTTTCGCAAAGGAGAATCGCGCAATTTGGCGAATACATAAATAAAAGTATAGCTCGCATTCCTTAAAGGAGCACTTGCTTATACATTATGGTATTTATATAAGGTGAAAGAACGCAGGATCGCGGGAGTCTCTCACGCTTGGGGCATATAATAAGTATAGGAGAGAGGGAATCGAGGCAATGCGATTATAACAATGAGATCGCGCTTTCGTGACTCTTTATGATCATCTCCCCCCCCTCAACCCACAGTGACAGGCTGTACATAGTTTTTCTCGCTGTATATTATACATGAGATTCGCTTCAAATTTAAAAGACACATTGCAGGTACCTATATACGTCCACACGTTCATCAAGATGTGATTGCGATGCACAGTAGGTCTTAATGCACCTTTTAATCCGCCGTGTGAACAATACGTGGTTAACTTTGGATGTCTGGTATACGACGTAATGTACACATGGGTACGTATAATATATACGTGGTTGGATTGTTCTTTTTTTTTTTTTTTTTTTTTTTCTTTTTCAACGTTTTGCGTCGAGGAGAAATTTTTGTGACTATTACATGTAAATTACATTTACAAAACCTNGGCTTCTCCTTTGCGCGGGAGAAAAAGGAAAAGATAAACGAGGGAGGCCGGTGTCATTCCTCTTTGTTTTTTTTTTTTTTTTTTTTTTTTTTGCTGTTTCAACGTTTTGCGTCGAGGAGAAATTTTTGTGCCTATTATATGTAAATTACATTTACAAAAACTGATGATGACTGCGTGAGAATCTGGATTCATTTCTTATATAAAACATTAGTCGTGATAAATCAACGTCGGCCGCTTTCCTATGGTAAAACAGACTTATAAGTAGCAAAGTTCACATGGAGGCAGACAGACACTTGTGATTTCAACATTTATGGTTTTTTTAACAGAGACTGATTATTTATTCCATCATGTTTTACTGATAATGTCACATCTAATAAGTACATGATTTTTCGTTGTTTCAATTACCTACTGTACTTATGAAAGTTTGGCTTCAAATTTCTCATAAATTTGTACAACTATATTGTTTCAAGATTGTTGGAAAGCTATTTTGACAAGGTAAGTATGTACATCAACGAAGTCCATAAGAAACTTGTACAATTTCTGTCACAGTTGAATGATTGTTGGTTTCTGAAAATTTTTTAACCACAACTGCACGGTTTTACTTACAATAATAATATTTTTCAATACAATACTGCGATCTTTTATTTGATATGCTTAAATTTGCCATTATATTGGCAAACAAGACTGTCTAAACGATTATCTTTCACACTCAAATATTGCAACACGTAACACTCATACAGCTAAAAAATTATACTTTCATGAGTACAATTGAAAACACCATTCGTCATGAACAGCGTGTCTCTTTTTGTGCACAAAAACAATCACAAAAACACAATAGCAGGTCGTTAATTAAAATAATTTCTTTCGCACACACGTTAATTCTTACTTCCTTATAAGCGCACATGAGAATTCGAGCTTAAAATGACGAGTGCTACAGGCTACTGACGTAAAATGGAAAAAACAAATTTCCATTAAAAAAAGGGGAAATATCCGATAAGCTACTTTTCATCGAGGTAAAAACGGACTAACATCTCTGTAAAGAATTACTTTTTTCCACGCTCTTCTTTGCACTTGTAGGTAACGGTTCTTCTTCAGTGCACATTTAAGGTGTCGTGTAGCATCTTTGTGCAATTCCAGATGATTGAGAACATTTTTTAGTTGTGTAGGTACATTAATTTTCGATACAAAAATGAGGGCAACAGTGAAAGGATTCGTTCACTGATGCCTTAGTTTTGGTACTTACCTTTATAGCTGTACATTTTTATACAACTTTTAATGAAGCTTCAAGGACGTATTTGACACTTTGTTTATTCATACTTATATACTGCGAGTTTGAATTTTTTTATTCAATATAAGTTATCATCGAAATCGAGATAACATTGATTTCTTATTTTCCAAGTATTTTTATTCATCCAAAACTTTTCATTCCAAATCGCGTAGATGATAATGAATTTGGCGTTTATGATCAAACGATTATCGACAAAATTATGCTTTCAACATAGAAATAAAAAATTTGTACGCAGGTACAATAAATCGATAGTTACAAAGTAAAAACCGATAACTTATTACCCGTCGGTACATTGAATTTCAAGATTTTTCCATATCGTAATTATATACGTTTGACAAGTCACCCAAAGAGGTCAAAGCCATTAAAACCCGAACAACTGTTATTAACCGCGAGGATACATGTTTTTCGATAAATAAAAAAATGACCGGCTAATTACAGTAAATCACCTTTTATCATAGCAGGACGGCACCGTGTGTTTCGATAAGGCAACCAATTAGTGCTAAGCTTAATTTAGCCATAAAATGATATAAAAAACGCGATTAAACACGTGTACTTTGGTAAATGTGGAAATTTTTATTCGTCAGAGTTTCTCAACGCCGTGACAATCGAAAAAAGACATCAATACTCGTCCACGAGCCATTAAAAACTTTCGGCCGCTTAACGCGGACTGATAACTTTGTTTCTCAATTTTGATGAAGTCACTCGTATAGGGAAAATAAAACTGACTAATAGGTTGGTACTCACTGAAATAGTTAAGTGTTTCCCGGATCTGATCCGGCGACAGCTGCAGATCTGCCTCCTCCAATGGAACTTTGGTCGAAGGGACGTACCAATCGGCGTTATCGTACCCTAAAACATGTACACAACGTGTCATCGCAGAGAAACCAAAGAGGCAGTTTCATTGAATAAGCAATAAAAATGTCCTCGAGGTAGAACCTCACCTTGAAACTCCGTGAGGGTGTCGGCTCTGAGACGGTACCTCGGTATCTGCTCCTCGAGAAGACTGATTATCTCGACCTCGGGCAGTTCCTCCCTACTGCACACCTCTGCAACAAGAAGACATGAGCGCTCAAATGAGTTCTTTCACTTTGGATTCTCCAACGGGCACGTATAGGTGCATGGAACGCGACCAATGAGGCTTCGCTCCTCTATGCACCTACTTATCCTGGCTCCCTTTCTAGTCTCTATGTGCATACCCAAGCGCGACCAGCTTCTGCATATCCTACCCTATTCCCGTTTACCGTATAGATGTATAAAAATGACGGGGAAAAAAAAAAAAAAAAAAATTATCGTTAACTAACGGTGCACCGCGTGCAGCTTTACGATGTTGTATCGATTTTGTTGTGCGTGATGTGCCAGGCACTAAATCAGCC